ATAAAATTTAAAAAAAAAAAACACTTCTCTCATAAGCATGTGGTGTTAAAAGTGGCACAGCGTGTGGCGGCGACAGCACAACACGAACAAAAAAAAAAAACATGCAACTAAAATTGAGAAGTTGACATACACACAATACAGTTTGACCGAAACTACAAGTACTACAAGTCATTTAGCAAATCACTGGCACTTTTTGGCTTTGTGACACACAATTGAACAACGACACAGCCACATTCATGTATACATACATATGTTTGTATGTATGTATGTATGTATGTACTCTTGGGTATACATTTATGTGTACATGCGCACCTACATCAAGCCGTTTGCAGTTTTTGGCTTGGAAATGTGTCTGCATCATGTTGTTGTAATTGTTGCCGTTATTGACGCCATCAATGTGCCGACGCTATACGTTTACATGTCAGTCTGGTACATCGAAAAAAACTAAATGTCTAATCGTAAGCCAAGCAGTAAATACGCCGTTGTTGTTATTTTTGTTGTTACAGCAAAAATTGCTGCACATTGGGCGCATTGGAATTTACTGAATGAATTGCTATGCCACTGCAACATCATTGGTGCAACTGGAATTCAATGCATTGCGTTTGCACTTTATCAGCTTTGGTGGCATCTTGTTTAAGTCGCTGCCACTATAACGTTGTCTGTATATACAAGTATGACTAACCGGCGATTGTGTCTTTGTCTGCCTGGATTTAACAATTGCCGATTACTGTGTGCTGATTTATTCGTTTGTTTCCTTTACCTTCGCTTAATATTACTCACTTTGGCCGTGTCTGAGGAAAACGAGTTTCGATTTCCGGTCGATTCAACAGCGTTGTTACTATTGTTGTAAATTGCATTTTGGGGTTAACAATAGTGGCAAAATCTGTATGTGAGTTTGCCGCTCATATTGTATATTGCAACATGCAACATGCCTTGGCCTCAATGACTGGCTCTAAGCTAAGGATGTTATCACTTCTGATTCAAGCAAAGATGTAGCGGATGCCAAAGGAAATATTTTTGCTGAGGAAATTTTTATTTGGGAAAAAATACAACTGCAATAATCTTGCAAAACTGCATTTCAAAAACATTTGAAATATTAAATTATAACAATAAAATGTTCAATAAATATATTAGAAGTTATTGCACGCATTTGCATAAATAAAATCTTTAGTTTTTGTTTTTTTTCCGCCAATACAAAGCACACACCCCTCATTTACTGTAATTCAAATACGAACGCCATTTCGCGCCGTTAGCAAATCGTATTGCTGATAAGGCCGAACAGATTTGTTTACATACACGATGCCAACATTAACATTAACAGAACTTAAGTATACATACGAATGTTACATAAACATAGAGGCAGCACAAAATTAGCATTGCTGGACCACACAACGACACACGACGTCAGCAAAAGCAACAACCAAACGAACGCCCAAATACAACATTTCGACTGCAAAGCAATGCACTTATTTGAATATGAGAAGTAAGAAAAAGAGATTACGAAAAAGAAACTTGGAACAAGTAGTATGCAAATAAAAATACAAAAATATCACTAAATGTAATCTGAGCTTACAAAATATGAAGATACAATACAAGATCGAATGAGCACAAGCATCGGCACCAGCGAAATGCTAACATTACAGAACAACTGAGATAGAGCGAGAAGGAATGTTGAGCGCAGGCGAAGTAGCGGCATTAAATTTAAATAAATTAATTTGAAATGTTTTTGCGATAAAAGGTACTCAAAAAAAATATAAATATATATATATATGTATATATATATATATATATATATATATATTTCAAGGACTGCTGTGATCGCTGAAAAGTGTCGAAAGGCGAACAATAATCAAAGTACACAAGAAATAAAATATAAAAACAGAATAAAATTATCACTTAGTAAAAAGGTATAAACGAGTTAAAATGCGTGCCAATTGCAAATATACAAACATTTATATATATAAATACATACACAATGTCCACATCCCATTCATAAATCCGATACGATAGCAGTAGCAGAGCGCTGGTGTACGACAACCAGAACTTAGTAAGAATACCAGCAGAAGCGAAAAACCACAGAGTAACAGTCACGCAGTAACAACTGCAACTTCAACAGCAACAACTAGAATAATAATAACAACAACAACAACAGCATTTATGCGAAATTTATCACATTTACAGCAAATAAATTCTGAACGCAAGCGCGAATATCTACCAACGACGATCTACAGCCACAAATACTTGGTAGGTCGACAGTGCAGCTAATGCCACTGTTGCAACATACTGGTAGCAATTTCATATGCAGCTCGAACATGTCAAAAAACATACATAAGTGTGCTTTAGTTGCTTTGAAAAATTTTCTTTTTATTTCAATTTCATTTTAAGCGCTTTATTGCATTGTAGTTGTGTACCTTTCAAAGTAACTCAATATTTTTATAAACAACAACAATAAGAACAGAACACAATACAACAAACAACATGCCACATTTGTTCAATGTGCTCAGATCATTGTTGTCGATGTTTTTCGCCAGGTAAGTAAGTGTTGTTATTACTAGCGCATTGTTGTTGTCAAAAGAATAACACGCCACAGTGTAAAGTGGTAAGCAGGCAGTTATGTAGCAGCAGCAGCAGAAGTAGCAGCAACATGTCGAAAGTTGTTAATGTTTATCACAGAGTCGAGTATTTAGTGATTCGTTGCTGTTATTGTTGTTATTGTTTGTTTGTTGGCCAGCATAAAGGTCTCAAGAGAGGCACTCCAACAACAAAATTCGCTGCACCGCCACCACCATGGCCAGCGATCAGCAGTCAGGCAGTATATTATTGTTTGTTGGTTTTGTAATTGTTGCAACACTGCGTGTCGCTTGAAGGACGTGCAACAGTAGCTGTTGCTGTTATGTTGCTTCAGCTGCATGTACATACATTCGTATGTATGCATGTTATTGTTGGCATACAATTTATGTTGTTGCTACGCATGCACTTTAGGACATGGTGAGTGGTTGCTCATAAGCGTACTAAATACGTACACATGTGTATATGTACATATTTATATACATACATATTGCTTTGTCTGTTGCGTTAGTAATAGCAGTAGTTGGACTAGCAACAACAACAAGCAACATGGGTGAAATTTATATCAACGCATTAAAATCAAATCACGCAATAAATGTGTTCAACGTGTTGTTAATATTATTTGTTGTTGCTGTAACTACTTGCTTCTTTAGTTACGACAACACGGTTTCGCGCACGCATAAGCGTAACGACGCAGCTGTTTGCAAAGACGTATGTATGCACATACATACATATCTATGGTAAAGGGTGAGCTGAAAAAGGTATTATGAGTTTTGGAATTTCTTCATTAAAGTTCGTGCAGAATTTTGGTAGGGAAAAATTCAATAAAGAAGCTTAATTTTATTGCGTTAAATTTATACTTACAAAGATGCAAAAAATAATATATAAATAAAATAAATAAATAAATTATACAATCATTCAAAAATAATTAAAAATTTTATTATGTTAATGTAAGTACATACATACGTACTATTATTTATATATATACATATATTCTCTTACTCTTATCAGCAATGACAAATGTGTGAATGACAATAGCTCCCTCCAAACCACATGCTGTCAATCTGTTGTTGCACAACAAGCAACTCACCATTAAGATAATCAATTAATTCTCATTCAAAGCAAAAGTAGCGCATTTTGTGCTGCGCATTAATTAATTGGTTAGTTTTCTTTAATAATAATCAGCAAATGCTCAATCAAAGCTACGTATGTACATGTTTATGTACATATATTATGGACTAACAATATAATATGCAATAAATGTGCAAAAATAAACAAACAGACGCATTAGTCGATACCTATATATATATATATATGTGTATGCATGTATAATATATTTCCACCAGCCCCAGATGAGCGAGCATTTGAAAAATAAATAGAAAAACTTGTCTTAACAAATTCATATAATAATCAACCGCTCCTCGCCGGCCGTGCCTACCCGCTCGCAAGCGCATTAGTAATTAACAAATAGCAGCACAAGTTGTGTGGTTAATTGTCTTGTTAGAAGTTGTGTACTCATTATTTTATTTCAATTATCACTTGCAAAGTGTGAGCGCACCGCTATTCAATACCTACCAACAAAAGCACAATATATTATTTAATTATAAATATGGAATTTAAATATGTATGTACAATATGTGTATACGCGAATGTACAATAGATGAAATAAAAATCGGCAAATAAAATAGAAAAAAAGGAGGGAGAACAGTAATCAAAATAAAACAAAGCAAAATAAAACTCGTAAACTTTTGAAAGTCGCGCCAATTTATTCTTGTTATATTTATGGGGGTCAAGCCAATGACGCATTCAACAATGCAGCAACATTGCCCCCCACTATCGGCCACTGACGCAAGTATCACTTAATACCGATAATCAAGCATATAATACGCATACATTCGTAAATATTTATATAATAAGTACTTATACTAAATATATAAATAACTTGATTTCAGCTGTACTTCGCAATAATTCATTGCAAGAAATTATCAGTATTTAAAATTTGTTAATTTGTTAAACATGATACTCTAGTAGTGTTGAGATCAAGGTCTTTAACGAAAATATAGAAAATATTATAAATATTGATACCTACAAAATTTTGAATGCGTGCATCAACAATAAATAAACGATTTAATGTACATACATACGATTGTACTAACACACACATATACATACATATACGTATGTATACAAAAATTAAAATTTCGTGGTTTTGTTTTGGCAATTTTTTGTGAATGAAATGCGTAATCTGTCGCTGGAAGTTCACTGTTATCACTGATTAAAAATATATTTTGTAGTAAACATTCAATTTAAAATGATTAAAATGATTTTAGTTACTCTCTTGTACGAGTAATTTGATAATAAAATAATAAATTTATTATTTCATAGTTTTTAGTGTTTATATTTATATTTGAATATTTTTTCTTCTTTTTTAGGCTGGCATGGATCTAAAAGAGAATTTAGTGGCTGGTGGTGCGCCATGGCCATATCCTTCAGTATATCACCCCTACGATGCGGCATTCGGTTATCCATTTAATAGGTGAGTAAAAGGGACTAAAGTTTATTTGTTAGATAGAATAAGAATATAAGGGGGAAAAAGAAAATCAAAATTAGACATGATGTAAGTCAAATTAAATCAAAAGAAAAATAAAATAAAATTAAATAAAATAAAATAAAATAAAATAAAATAAAATAAAATAAAATAAAATAAAATAAAATAAAATAAAATAAAATAAAGAAATCTAAAATAAAAATAAATGATATTAAATAAAATTAAATTACACTAATCTAAAAAAATGATTATAATGTAAAACAAAATTAAATGCAAAAAAAGTAAACATTTAATTCAAAAAAATGAAATAAAATTAAACAAAGTAGCAAAATAAAATTAAAAATAAATTTGAGGAAGGGAATAAATTAATTTTTTTGTATATTAAATAACTCTAAATAAGTAAAATTGAAAACTTCGGACCACCCACTCTGCGACTGTGTTGTTTTAAATTTAAAACTCCAAGCTAAACTCTTCTTAATTTTTTCCTACTTCATCGACTTGTACATATTTACATATGTATGTATTTATGAATGTGTATATGGAACGCCCACTTTTCATCACGCGTCTATAACTTTCATTTTCCATTTATATTCTACTTACAATTAATACAACAACAGATTTAATGCCATGTAACCAGCAATGTTCGGCATAAGAGCGAAATTGAAAATTTAAATAATTGAAAAAAAAGACAGGGTTTTATTTAACGGCATCTTTCAATTAAATAAATCAATGTGTTGCCAGTGTAAAGGGAGACGCATATTTCACTGCTGGATTACGTGAAGCGCAGTTACACGAGTATATATGTATATATGTACGTCCAACTAACAAATTAATAAAGTCGATGGGTACAAATTGAGTGACAACATTTTGCTTTTAATGCATAAATACTCGGACGAGTAAAGTGAAAATGCAAGAAGCTTTTGTGGGTGATATACAAACGAGTACATACATACATGCATACTACATATGTAAGCATCCCTTATTTTGCAGGTCCCATTTGTCACAATAAGGCATACATATGAACATATAAAATGATGCGTCTCTGCAATGTATGTATGTATGCATATGTAGTGCTTTGAAGTTCATCATTTAGCAGTAAATATGAGCAGATGATTTTATTGTTTTTTAAAGCTGTAAATCTTAATAAGCTTAGAATGACAGGCGGACTGAAGGAAAAATGTAAAAAAAAAGAAAATGAATGATGGAAATTAACAGAGCATGATGGATGATGGGGTGGTAAGAAAATAAGAGTAATTTAATATAAGTGTACATATGTATGTATGTATAAATATATTTATGCAAACGGAAAAAATAATGAGTTCGAAGCACACAATTGTAGTACTAACAATATAAATATAAGTATGCATATATATTTATTTTCTTATTTATTTCATAATAAATATAAATAAATAAATTTAAACTAAAATAATTAATAAATTACTTACTTTAGAAAGCAAACGCTAGTAATAATTCTTCAAAAACACCGCTTTGCTTAACAAACATTCAATTATTTTTAAATACATTAAAGTAATTTGTGCATTCATATACATATAAAAAATAAAAACAAATTGTTTTTTGGTACAAAAGACCATGCCACCACTTTTTTATGATCACAAAAATTGCCGAGCGGCAGCTTTTTAGTAGACGGCGCCGGTAGATAATAATCGTAGAAAACTCTATAAACAAATGCAAACAATGAAAATTCTCTTGACTATGCAAAAGCGCTTTGTTGAACTTTTTTTTACGGTTTACAGTAAGTGTTGCGCATGCGCACACCTACGCATTGCCAAGCCAGTAACTAACCACCCACAGCTGTCTCGACGTCATACCACAGACGTTCTTTCCTTCGCAATCATAAATACATACATATGTACATATAGTTATACAGTAGATTTGCAGCGCCAGCAATTTGTCGATAAGCATAAATGCTGAATATGCAATTAAACAAAAAATTATATAAAATTAAATGCGTAAAAAACGCAAAGCGATTGAGCGTGGAAGTGAATGCTTTGAAAAGAAAAGTGCAAAACCAAAATAACAAAAAAAATATATAAAAGTTTTGCCTTGAATATGTAAGCATGGAATTTTTTTTATATAAAAAATATAAAATTAATGTAAGAAATTATGCGTTGGCGGTCTACTTGTGTAGCTACTGTTGTGCTCTATACAATACGTATGTATGTAGCGATGCCGCCACTCAAAAAGAGAACGCGGCTGCCGCACGTGCAATTGTTGCAGTTGTTGTAATGCATATTTCCTGCCTGCTGAGTGACTAACTGCATTGGCAACCGTTTGTAAAAGTGCATAAAAGCATTTTAACATACATACATACATACATACATATGCGCAGACGTACACATACTCCTGTTGGTTGCGGCTGCGTGCCTTGCATGGCTGATGCGTCTCCAGGCACGAGCGTTGGCAAGCAAGTTGTGATAAAAGAGCAGAATGTATGATTTTAAATACGTACGTGCATCGGAATGTATGCATATTGGGTATTGGAAAAAATCAATTTAAATGAAAATTCAAAAATAATACACGAGAATTTGTAAAAATCGAATATAATTGTGTTGGACGGTGGCTGAAGTGTTGAAGCGGCTTAATTCAATGCGCATAAAATGCATTTGACATACGCATGTATGTACATATGTACGTAGGTACAAGTAACACAACAGCGTACATAAATATAACAAAAGCTCGTAAAGAAGTTGATGAATTACAAACAAAGTAACAAATCAAGTGAAGTAGAAAAAATGCTAATATAATATATTGAAAAAGAAAAAATTGAGCGAAATGCTAAAAACACAAGATTAAAAAAATAAAAAACTTAAAATGAAAAAAAGGATTTTAATATAAAATTAAAGAATAAAATTAAAAAAATTATTAATTTATATAAAATTATTTGTACATACAAATGTGGCGCAGATATAATATGTATTACACATAAATAATATAAAGTGTGCATACAACAATAATAAAGCACATAAAGAATTTAAACAAAAAAAATTTCTTCATTTAAAACTTAAATTAAAAATTTATTGTAATTTTAAACAATATATTATATTTATTGATGTCTACTTGTATAACTATATGCTTATACAAGTGCATTTGTAATATACATTGACATTACAAATTTATTTGCATACTCAGAAGATATCTTCAATTTACTTGACACAAATTCACACCTCAACAGACGTCAATTAGACCATTGAAAACATCCCGTCACGTAATGCAAAAACATTTTATGCACTTTAGATATGCCTTTAATTCATTTTTTGTTGTATATACATATGTACATACATACAGTTTTATATATATACATATATTTGTAATTTTTTGTAATTTCCGCATGCAAATAGAATTAAAATAAAATATTTGAAACTTTAAAAAATTTGTTCGCTAATACAGGAAATGCAACAAAATCAAAGCTGATTTAAAACGGAAATCATATGTTAATATACATTTTTGCCATTTAGAATACACTGGAGACAGTAACATACAAAGAACTCTACAAAAAAATAATTATTTTACAAAAGTCACTAAATATATGCACAAACATTTATATGAAAATATAACCATATAAGGCCGCACATTCGCTAATTTGTATGTTATGTGTCTAAATGTGCTGCTACAACGTTTTCCTGTCAGGTGTTAATACAATATTTTTGCTTTTGTCCAAATATAAAAAATAGAACTGAATAACTGCTTAAAATTTTGTTGTAACACCTGTCTGTAATGTATATGATGATTATTAAATAGTTGTCAGCCTACTTATGTAAGTGCGTATGTGTGTAAGTAGTGTTACTATACGCTCTTTAAGGCAAATATGACAAATGGGAAGCATGCAAATAATTTTAATTTTATTAAGCCATTAGAAAACAATACACGGCACTCACATTGCTCGCAATTTTGGCCACTTCGTTGCAGGTGTTTCATTAATGTCAGTCAATTCTGAACAACAACAACAACGGCAGGTACATTGTAGATTGCAGCGCCTATGTGGCATATTTAGCTTCTAGTAAACAAACAGAAGCCATTTCTTTATATTTGATATAGATCAGAAGCATACAAACTTATTTACTCCCAAATGTCTTAGTCTGATTTTTCAATTTTTAAATACCACAGAAAGTGGCAAACTTAATATAAGTTAAAGTGAGAAAAAAAATCAAATTAAAAGAAATTAAATCAGTTAAAACTTTAAGTTTCTTCTATATGTACATATATGGATTTTCCCACTCGTTTTTATTATTTACTATTTCACTTTAAAATAAGAAGACACAGCGCGAAATAAAAAAAAATGCTAAAAAGATTATTTTTATAGGAAAATCCATATTATTACACATTTATTTATTTTCATTAAAAAGAACAAAAAAAAACACAAGAATTACATCAATATATCACTTTAATTGCCACGCCACCATGTGAGAACCAACATTCAATACATTTTTAGTAGACACGGCCATTACTACATGCACCTACATAGAATTACATATAAATATATTCATGTAAATTTGCGTATGCGTGCAGTAACAGCATCAGTAGCAAGCCATTTTCATGTTAAAACAGCAATTATGTGGTTGAAGCGTAGCCAAAATAGCCATAACAGTGGTAAGCAGACATACGTGTATATACACACACACACACATATGTATGACTGTACGTAGAAGCATAAAAGACTTGCAACAAGGCGGAAAATTGTAACAACGCATAGCGGCAACATGTATGTACATATGTATGTATATATAAATACGCCTCTAGGCCTGCTTATATATATATGTTCATCATACACTCGAAGTTAAGAGTATGCAAACTCTGTTTGCCTGCTTGTACTATGTTAACATACGAGTGGTGGTTTTGCCGACGGCTATGCAAACTGCCCAGTCCAGCCCACATTTAGCTGATTGACCAAACGTTGACCAGCTGCCCACAAAACCACAAAAGGCCATAATAAGCAAATGTGCGCCATCAGCGAAAATACATACGAAACTATGTACATACATATGTATATCTACACACAAATTGTTTTACTAACGATTGTTGTTGCTTTTGTTATAAATTATATTTTATTTTTGCAATGCACAGAAAATGTCTATCGACAGTGAGCAACCAACCAATAAAGCAAACGAGTAGATAACATTACATTACGAAAGTGCTCGCTCTCTAACGTTCGGCTAACTGGGTGTGCGCCAAATAACCAATCAACTGCGCCCTACTCTCTACTCAATGTTATGTGTTGTACTGATTCTGGTATATAATTTCTTTGAAAATGCTTGCTTTTACACAAACATATGCACACGTATTTGTTATACATATTTACACAATTTTTTGCCAATATTCTCTCTTTGGTCCATTTTATTTGATATTTTTGCAATTTATTTTTGTCTTTTTTCTTCACAATTTAAGTGCTTTTTTGTATTTTTGTTTTTATCGCGGCGCCTATTAAATGACCACAAATTGCGCGTAAACGTTGACCGCCATGCCGGTCGTGGCTTCCACATGCCAGGCACCGCCAAATTTTGTGGTTTGTCCGCCAAAGTGGTCGCCGCCACATTTCGCGCTTAAGGTGTGGCACGCCCGGTTGGTTGTAGTCAACAATGCTGCCCACACAGCGTGGTGCAAACATACTTTAGTACTTACTTATATCGGTATAAAAAGTATACACACATATGTATGTACATGAGCAAATGTATTTACTTATGATTGTATGTAGCGCATAGAGTTGCACTGTGCGTTTCCTCACGCTTTGTGCGTAAAATCAATTAAAATCGTTGCGAATCATGTTTTTGGTTGTTGTTGGCTGTTTATTTTTATGTTTTTTTTACAATGTATTTTTGCCTGACGTGTAATTCAATAAGTGTAGCAACAGCAGCAGCATGTGCCCGTTAATGTAATGCAAAACAAGTTTAATATTGTTACAGGCACTTGCATACGTATGTACATACATACATAGCGTCACCTTTTGTATATATTTATGCTCTGCTGCAACAGCTGCCTTTAACAAAATAAAATAAAATGAAAAAAATAAAATAAAATAAAATGAAATATAATAAAATCAAATAAAATTACGAATAATATAATAATATATAATATAATGAAATAAAATAATTAAAAACAATTAAATAAAACGAAAGGAAATAAAATAAAAAACAAAATAAAATAAAATAAATAAACTAAAATAAAAAACATGTGAAACAAAGTGAAATAAAATAAAAAATTAAATAAAATGAACTAAATTAAAATAAAAAAGGAAAATAAAATAAAATTGAATTGAATATAAATAAATACAATAAAATTGAAAAATTAATATACAAGAAAATAAAATAAACGATATATAATAAAATAAAATAAAAAAATTTGCATTAAAATTAAACAAAATAAAATCAAATAATACAAATTAAAACAAAAGAAAATAAAATTAAATATTATAAAATTAAATAAAAGTTTCATAAAACAGCTTAAAATAAAGCGTTAAAAAGCCTTTGAGCCGGTTTGCATTCACAAGATGTTCTTAATAGAATAGATCTTACTACTTCTGTTTAAAAGCTTTTGCAAATAATCGTTTACCTCACAAATGCATAACGCTTCTACCACCAATGCGGGTGTTATTACCTTGTTGCATATACGAGTATGTAATGATGCTTTGTCTATAAAGTCTATTAGACGCTTGAAAATTCTCGCATGTCACACATTTTTTTAATCGCCTTATGTCACATTATATTTAATTGTAATCGCCTGCACTCAGCCGTGTCGACAAGAACACTAAGACCAGCTCTTGCTAGCTGAAACCATTGCAAAGTAATGGGTGTTGTTACCATTTTGCAAATTTTATAACATACAATAAGCATAACGTACTAACAGTAAATCCAAGCCGTATTAACCTTTGCCCGTTTTCCTTACTCTATTTGCAGTTATGGTGTTGACTTGAATGGAGCGCGTCGGAAGAATGCCACCCGCGAGACTACCTCGACGTTGAAAGCCTGGCTAAATGAGCACAAGAAAAATCCATACCCCACGAAGGGTGAGAAAATCATGTTGGCAATTATAACGAAAATGACGCTGACACAGGTGTCTACGTGGTTCGCGAATGCGAGAAGAAGACTGAAAAAAGAGAATAAAATGACGTGGGAGCCGAGAAATCGCGTCGACGACGATGATGCAAATCTCGATGATGACGATCATAAGAGCACCGATGATAATGATTTGTTAGGTAAGTTGCTAAAATCCAATATTTATAGAGAATATTTATCTAACTTACACAGATACTTTCCCCTTAACTATGCAAATCCGCATTTTGCTTATACTATTTTTTTTCGCTTTCTTTTATTCTCATCTACACAGATGCCAAAGACTCTGGTCTCGGCTCAAATGAGGACAAGGATCGCTCAAATCGCCTTGGCGATTTAAGTGATCGTCCCGGTGAGAGCAATAATAGTGAATGGTCCGGTTCGCGACCTGGCTCACCAAATGGTTCACCTGACCTTTACGATCGCCCTCTCGGCATGCCAGGCGGTGGTCATCCACTGTTTCATCCCGCCGCGTTACATCACCATTTCCGCCCACCAGCTGGTTCACCACCCGACATCGCTGCCTACCACCATCACCAACAACAACTGCTGCAGCAACATCAACAGGCGCAGCAAAACTCACTGCAAGCGGCGAGTGGCGGCATTGGCGGGGGTAGCACTAGCGCAAGCTTAGCGGCAAAACCGCGTATATGGTCGTTGGCGGATATGGCTTCAAAGGATGGCAAGGACTCTTCCGCGAAAGATAGTTCACCGGGCAGCATTGGCTTACCAGGCACCGGTATGGGTGAATTACCCCCCACACATCCCGCTTTATATGGTCATCCCGCGCAGCATGCCTCACCCGGTAAGATATTGTCGCCTCTAGCGGCGCGCATACCAAATTATTCACCTTACGTGCGACCCGATCTCTATCGCGGTTTCTATGCGCCCGCTGGCCTCACTGGCCCCTCACAAGAATTTCTCGAGCATCAGCGTAACTTCAACGCCAGTTTGGCTGCACACAATGGACTCAGCATGAATCCGTTGCTATGGAAGGCAGCCGTTACCGGTGGCACACCCTTTGCACCATTAAGTCTTACCACGACGGGAAATCATCATGCGCCACAACATGTGCCACCACCAGCGGGCGCATCACCATCAGCCTCCAGCACATCCTCATCGATAGGTTGTGATGTTGTACAGCCCCCATCATCAATGAGTCTCACACAATCACATCATATGGGTCCGATTTCGGGCAATTCGACATCCTCATCGAACTCGTCCAATTCTGGCAAACTATCGCCGGGCAAGCCATGACAATTGACCGTATCACCAACGACCAGCACTGCAACAACAGCTAGCCTAACAACAACAATGTTGTCCGGTGTTAATTCAGCGCAGCCAACGCCAGCGGCTACCTCGTCAGCGATGCTGCTCGTCAGTAGTACTCCCACAGCAGCAGCAGCAGCAACTCCATCGCTCACACACACCCATACGCACACGCACACGCATACGCTGACACATGTGATACCAGCAGCAGCAGCGGCTGCGGCAGCCGCCGCCTCATCGCCAATGTCCGCCTTTCGTTCGTTAATCGCCTTTCGTGAACAGCACATGCAACAGCAGGCGCCCAAAGTCACTTTGCGGCCGTAAGTCGGGCAAAAGCATGGAGCAGTGTAATGTGTTGGTGGTGGCTGCTGTCGTGGCGGCGCAACGAAATTGAGAATTTCTACTATTGGACAATAATTTACATGTGATTTGAGAATTTTTAATTGAGCGCAAGCGGTGAGTACTGCAGTCCATTTGGAGGCGTTTACACCAAAAAAAAAAAGTATTTGTTTAGATGTGAAAAATTCAGCGGAAAAATTGCAGATTATATAATATACATGATATATAAATATGTACATTAAGTTAACAGTTTTAGAGAGATTGAGCAGCGCCTAACCACTCGGTCGGCTATACTAGGTTGATGGACAGTTTGTTTTTTCTCCCCTCTCTTGCGCTGCATTGTAAATAATGTGAGTGTGAAGCAAAGGTGAAAAATACACATATACATTTAAGCAAACGTAATAATAAATAGTAGAATACTGTGAATAACAAATTACCGAAATTCAAACAAATAACACTTATGCAACAGAGCTTATAGAGAGTAACAGTTAGTAAAAGAGAATTTCTAAATACAAAGAGCACGAAATAAACCGAACGAAAATTAATGCAAAAGCAGCACAATAGTAAAATACTAAAAAGAAATTGTTACAGTGTAAAAATAGAGAAAAATTACAAAATAATTTCTTAAAAATAAAATATGAAAAAACTATTCAAATAAAAAATAGAAGAATAGAAAATAACTGAAAAGCCATGTAGCATTGTTAAAAAAAAAATTATTTAATTTAAATTTTTTTTAATTAAGTTTGGAAAAAAAAACATATCAGAGCAAACAATTCTCTTTACTCCAAAAATGTATTTTTCACAGTCTCTACTAAACAAATTTTAGTCTTTAGGTTGTTTTTTATTGTTTTAAGTTGAAAACGTTTTTGTTCCTGTCGTTTGTAAAATAATTTATTATATAATAAAATAATAATAAATGGAATTTAAATGCAGCTTTAAGGTTTAAAAAGCAGCGAAAAAATTCAAGAAATAAGCACAAAACTTAAAAAAAGGAAATTAAAACTTATATTAAAAATATTAATTGCAAAAAAAAAAAAATTAATAATATTAAAAAATTAACGAAATTAAAAAATGTATATTTTTTGTAAATTGTAAATAATTGTATACATACATATGCATATATAATTTAATATGTGTTTTATTTCAGCACATGCATACATATAAACAATAATTATTATATAATTATACATTGCAGTATAATTATAATAAATAAGCGATAAGTTTTTAGCAAAGTAAAATATGTGTTGTAAATTGAAAAAAAAGAAGAAAAACGTGAAAATTATGTGAAAAAGTGAATAATTATAGTCATAAAAAAGTAATGTAATGTGCATTGTAATGTAATGTAATTATTAGTTGTACGTACTTACCTACATATAAATACTATACATATTTACNTATAAGTAAATAAATCCCTTAAGCAGTGCAGTATGTATTAAATATAATTATTCTAACGCATTAAGTGAGAAAATTATAATAATAATAATGAAAAAAATATATATATAAATTTAAATAAATTTATTAAATGGAAAACAATAATAAAATACAGTTGAGCATTAAACGCATTGTACCATTGTAATTGTAGTGCTTATAATTTAATTATATATTTTTTTATTGCTATTAGCAATGAAATAAATTACGGAACGACGCAAAAGTGTAAGCATAAAAAACAAGAACAGCAACCACAACAACAACGGCGCAAGCTTTGTGACTAATCTCATTGTGAAATCACATTAATCTAAAAACGGGAAATAAATCGATGTACATAGATTTACACAACCAACCCACATAATTATGACTTGATCGACAACTAAAACACAAAAGCGTTGTTATCAATTGCATATATGCGCTCATTTGTTTTGCACGGAAAATGGCAAATGTTTTACCATAATGTTGTTTAAACAGACAAACATAGACACACATACACACACAAACACACAGTGATAGTAATATTCATACAGTCGTGCACTTGCGCAGAAAATGACACCCACACGATAAACACATATTGACAGTGAGGAATGTTTTTTTTTTTTATTGTATTATTAGTAATGGCAATGACAAACAGAAATTAGTTGCAATATAAAGAAATAATCCCAAAATAAAGATATATACATATATATAAAAATCGAAAGGAGAAATTAATAAAAAAAAAGCTGAAAAAAATTAATAAATAAATAAAACAAATATGAAAAATTAAAATTTGTTGGTTTTTTTCGTTTGGTTGGAAGAGGAAAATATTTATCGGAAAATTATACGTAGTAAGCAGATTGGGAATTTTCTTATAGGGTTTCGCAAGTTAAGCTGCAACGTGCATTTGTTTTAGTGAGTTGTTCGAAGATTTACTTGAAAGGGAGTACAAATCACTCAAATTTATATAGACATTTTCTTAGAAGAATTCGTATTGTTATATTACAAAAAAAAAAAACACATGATAATTATAATTATTAATTAGTATTACAAACATAAAATATATCGCTAAATTTATTTTTCATTATAATATATATATTTCATTATAATATGTGAAAGACTACAACATTCAAATGATCGCCTCGCGCATATTGGCAAACTTCGAACCGCACATATTGGGGGGTAACTCAGCCAAAACTCGACAAATGTTGGTTACCAAGTACTCAAGGGTCAAAGATTTATCCGCATAATAAGCCCAACGAATACCTTCCCCCCACCCAACCGACACGACAGGCGATATCCGCATAAAGTACGGAAAATGCCGAGTCATGATTGGGAAGTGCTTGTAAAGCGCTCAGACTTTAAACTGTTTAACTACAAAAAAAAATAGTCAACAGCTGATATTTAGTATTTATGAAATTTTAAATTTTAATTGTTGAGAGAAGTAAAAATAGTTATTTGTTGCTAAAAAATGAGTCTAAGAGATCGAAGATGCTGCCGTGAAAATTATAACTGTGACAGAAACGGCGAAATGGTTCATTCAATTCATAATTGGGTTTATATGACTTTCATAAACTGCCTAAATATACGAGTTGAAAATTTAAATATTTACCTTAGATAGAAGTCAAGAAATACAAATTGATCCCATCTTTCACGACACATTGCCGGTCAATGTGAATAGTGTTTACGGTCTTGATACTGATTGATTGATTGATTGATTGATTTGGTTTCGCAAGATATCGTTATGGAAATTTTAATGCGAAAATTTTCCACGGTGGGATAAACCATTTGTCGAAAATGTAGATAAAATAATGAAAATCGTTCACCGTCATGCGAGTATTGCTTCGATTGCCCACAAACAAGTGGTTTAGATCCATTTTACATAGGTTAGATACGCTCCTTTGCGTATTTATGAGCGTCGCAAGGTGGACATATCCCTCTGGAGCTTTGTTTCTGTGTGATGCAAAGTGGTTCACTAGCACCAACATCGAATGGAAACGATCCTGGTCGAAGGGCAGTGAGCCTGCACAAACCAGGAAGGTTTTGTAGTATGTTTGATGGGTTTGGCAAAGAACTCGCACCTGTACTGTCAGCAATTGGACATCGTATCTCATCAGACCAAACACATCGATAGTGACTCGCCAGTAGCTTCAAGAGCTTGTTTGGGCGTTTCCTATGCATCCACTTTAGAGTAGACAGATGTCGCGGTTGAAGAATTGGTCTCAATAGAAGGCTGTGAAAACCGTTTGCCCCTATTTTTTGGCACATGTGCATATCTAAAAAAAAGATATTCTAATTGTGGCCGCCCCCGGCCATGTCATGAAATATCAGCTCCACATAAAAAAACCATCAGCCGCTCGGAGGCGTCGTTGGAAAGACTTCAAGACGTACACTACAATTTAGAGGAGGAACTCGGACTAACATCGTTTTACAATGCATTATGGTATTTTTTTTTTTTTTTTTTTTTTTTTTTTTTTTTGTACATTTTTTTAAAAAGTCAGCTGGATTTTTTGATTAAAAAAACCAAATTAGGTACTGGAGAGGAAGAATGAAAAAATAATTTGCCAGTATATCTAGTTATGTTTACGCTCTCGTTGAGTGTTAAGTAGAAATTTTTATGGAAATAAATATTGAGATAATATTTTTTTTTTTGAAATTTTTTGTAAAATATGTGGAAATATTCAGCACTTTAGGATCGATTTTTAACCAATAAAATCAAAATGTCTAGGAAATTTGTGATGTTATTTGATTTATTTGAATTTTTACCAGATTTTTGGAAATTTTTCATGTCGTAGAATCGAGCCTCAGCTGCGATTAGTGCCAAAATAAAAATGAAAATATTTTTGAATGATTTTAAAATGTTATTTAAGGAAGCCTAATTTTCAGAAATATATACATATATATTTCCTAATACAACTACAATAATATTTCAACATCTGGTATTTCTTGTACTTTTATAAAAATTTAAAATAAACTAGAGCTGAAGCTCAGTTCCCTTGAGGCGCAGTTTTCCATTATGAACTCCCAAGTGTGTTGTTTTTGTATACTTTGTTGTAAGATCTTGCCATCAACTGCTAAATGCTACGACAATAATCAACTTATATTTGCTAATAATCGAAATGGCAGACAAAAAATAATTACAAAATGCTCATTTTGAACAAATGACATGAAGAAGATAAAATCAAATGACAAAAAAAAAGAAAAAAAAAAAACAAAAAATAAATAAAGCACATAATAAGACAACAACAGCAAATACGTACAAGTCAAACA